AAATAATGTTAAATCTCTACAATTACAATTTTATAAAATATTAAGTTTTTAAAATTTTAAATAATAAAATAGGAAAAATATTAACCGTCAAACATCCGCGTCGACAAACCTAAAAAGTAGACTGTTGCAATTAAAAAGAAACGGAGGAAGTTCCATTCAACCAAACCCAAACAACCCACCAGAATTAAAATCCCAAACAATGAGCCCAAAACATTTCAGGCGCTGGATCATGTACTGGACATAAGTTCAGCCCAAACACAGCCCGATAACCCAAGGTTTTTATTCCTCTCATCATCACCCACTAACCTCCCACTTCACCCTAAAATTACGCCGACACTCTCAGTTCGTGTAACCCTCCCCCCTCTGTCTAACGAACTACACATATCCGAAAACTCCCTCACCGGCGAATCGCAGATCCGCGTTCAGTTGACCAAAATAACTCCGACCGGTTGAGAAAAAACACCATAGCATACTGCCGAGCATAAATCCAAACCACAAACCACAATCTGAAAGACACAGAAGCGAACACACAAATCCATCGCAAAGTCAAGGTCAGGAAAAGATCCAGAGCAACGCCGCGTGAACGCCGGAAGCCCGGAGCTTTCACCGACAGAGAGGGAACAACGCCGTTCGTCAAATGATTCACAGGTAAACTCACCAACTCTAAAACTCACAAAACCACAAAAACTAACCCACACCTTCTGCATGCACCAAGACATCACGAATCTATTAAAAATCTGGGGATTTTTTTTCAAAAATACTCTACAAATTTATCATAAATCTTTACCCCAAAAAATGGAAAAAAATTCAGTTCCGATTTAGTTTATTACCCAACGGAGATCTACAATAATCGAAGTCGGAAATTTTTTCTGTTCACGAAATTGTATCCTGAAAAATAAAAATATGGAAAATATATTGCCCAAAAACTACCAATAAAGAAAAACAGAGATCATCAAAATCCGAACGTCTCTGTATTTTTTTTCCACAGTCTAAAAAATAACCCAGAATACACCCATTAATTTTAGAAAACATTAAGCAAACAATTTTAACCAAACAGAGAGATCTAATTTACATATTTCATTCTTAAATCAATTCTATCAGTTAACCGCCATTTGTGTATCACGATTATCTGTGATTAAATTTTATAAATTTAAAATTATTATTAATAATACGAAACACACTCTTAACTTTTATTTTAAAATGTATATACTCACCTATGTCGGTAACAACATAGTTAATTTGTTTATTAAAAGAACATAGTTAATTTGTCAAAATAAAAATAATCAAGCTAAACGATTTCTTAGAATATTTTTTAGAATCATGTCATTGGAAGTATCCGGAAATGCTAGGATGGTTTTACAAATTACTGCAAAAAATTTTTTATCAAAAAATTAATATAAACAAATATTTTTTGAAAGAAGAATCTGGAAACAGTAAGACCGTGAAGACAAAATAATGGAGTCTTCTGCGTTTTTTCTGACATGGACCCACCCACGTTAGAATTTCAAATTAAAAACCTCTACCCAGAAAATTTAAGTCCAACCACCCCCACCCAACGTCATTTATTATTCTCGAAACACCCAACCACTATCCACGCTTTCAAACTTTAGCACATCGAGCCGCCCACCACTTTCCAGCCCACTTAAATGTAGAAATAAAAATCCATCGGTCAAGAATTCAACCTTTTCTATTAAAAAGATACACAAATATTTACTCCCAACCAACAGCAGTAATTACAAACCAAACTCCCACCCACCAGTATAAGTGACAAATACAGATCCCTCCCACAACCTTATATGACTACAAACACAGCCGTTCACCAAAACCAAACCCCCACCACCCGGAACACCATCCTTACCAATACAAAGATGCATAAATTCCAAATGGAAACACTCGGTTTATACAACAATTAATCCTATTCTACACCTCCTATCCGAACACCAAAAAGGTACAAACACAGAAGTTGAACCCTTATTAATATTATTTGTTATTCCCTCATTCAATCCGGCTTAGCTAACAAAGTTGTACACAGTACATCCACCACTGCCCCATAGCCGAAGTCAATTTGGATGGAGAAAGCATCACCAATACAAAGGAGATTAAAGGTATTCTTCTAGCAATGTAAATCATTTATGATTATTCATTAAAAGTTTTTATTTTCTCATTAGCATCTAACTAAATGACTGACCAAATAATTGATCTGTTTTTTTTAGGTGAATGATACACCACACTCAAGTCACAGCGTATAGGTAACAATTTACAATTCTTATTATTTCATATGCTTCTATAAAATATAAGAAGCACAAATTATTTATTAATACTGTTCCTAAATTCATGCAATTCAATGAGGGGAAATCAATTAACTGGGAGAAGACAAAGATCGCGAGGATAGTGCACAGGACCAGCATATATAAAGGAAAGGTAATATCCTAATTGTAAATGAATTGTGATGTATAAATTTTTTCAAAAAAACCATACGAAATGTTAACCATACACCCTATCTTTGAAATTCATTCTTACACACTTATATTTTCTACAGATCAAACACAAATATTCTTATTGAACACATCACCAAAGTTCACATACACCATCGAAATTTGAAAATAAAGTTGATGATACCCTAGTTCTAAGTAGACTAAAATAATAACCACAATCACAAAAAGCCTTAACCTTGCACAGAATTTACCTCGGTTGGATCTTTTGGATCCCAACACACGCGATTTAGTTATCTTAACCATAACCTAAGTCCTCAACGCTGCATCACTTACCTAATAATAGTGGTGTCAGTATGAGAAGATAAAGATTTACGATTAGACTCAAACCAAACGATTGAACACAATAGACTACATTACATCATAGGAGTACATAGAGTGCAGAAACGATTTACCTAAAAAGACATTTACCCAGTAGTGTCTTTTGTTTTGAGTTGGACAAAATACATCATAGGTGCACAATACCAAGTTACATTAGAACATTATTAAACTCTACTGAGCCAACCGTAATCAAAGCAAACAACAAAATCCCCTCCAAAATAGAATTGGTTGAGCAGGATAGGGCGTGTAGAACGCCTCAGAACAACCTCTTTCCTCTCTTCCCTCTCAACAGTGGAGTTAACCACAGGGGGCTCCCCAGAAGACTCCCCAAAGGTCTCCCCGGTGCTCTCCTCAGTGGCCTGCCCAGAGTTGTCCCAATCATCTCCGATGTACCATCGGAGATCATGCCGTCCGTAGAAGCGCGACAAAACTTCCGGGGGCAACTGATCCCAAGGGATACCACTACGCAGAAACTCAAGACCATAAAAGGCATCACAATCAAAACACCAGCACATTTGACATGAACCACCAAGAGTGTACATGTTGGAACAAAGGTGAATCTTACCACAAATTGAACAATCTCTGATCATGGCACCAGAGTGAGTAAACACACCTGAAAGAGTTAAACAATCCTCAGTTCCAACTCGGCTGAAATGTTTAGAAATATTATCCTCAAAAAATGTTTAGATATATTATACTCACAATTTAACCCCTCACTGATAGAATAAAGCAATTCAAATTTCCCTTTTTGAACTAAATCCAGCATTATTTTAAGCTAGATTGACTTCCAAATATATACAGATTTATTTCAAACCCAATAAAAATTTGGTTAATATATGTAATGAGATATTACTGTGAAATAAATATTATTTGCAACTGAATTTAAAATTATTTTTGAATTTTTTTTTTTTAAAGTTTGGGCTGTAACCTTACTTTCCTCACTGGATGCAGGACTTCACCCTAAATTGAGGAAGCAGCAATAAAGAAGACAGTCCAGAAACCCAGGACTCAAGGAAGACTATTTTGCCTAAGGAGATTTTTTTACCATCGTAGGTATTTATAACCAAGGTGACTCCACCATACTGTGAAAACCAAATATGCAGCTAAGAAACAGTAAATATTCATTATGGAATCCACTAACTATCTATAGAACCAATGATTTACTTACACCACATCCCTAAACTAATAACCCACCACGCAAAATCAGATTTACTGGATCTTGAATGTTGTGGACAAATTATGTCCACATTTCGAACTGAACAGATCTGGCTGTCTACAGTGATTAAAATATCCTGCAGACTGATATCAAAATTAACCACACTTTTGATAAACTAACAAATCCGGGGCTGATAGGAACTGATTTTATATCACCTCCGTTCATAAATAAATGCAACACTTTAACTTTAATATGATTTACATGCTATATTTTAACTACGTTTTATTCATTTCCTCAATTGTTTTTTCTATAAAAAATCCTTGTTAAACCTGTCTAATTGAATATTTAAATAATCTAATTTTTTAAACTCTATATTAATACAAAATCACACACAGTAAATGTAAGTGTGAAATGTTGAGGTTGCATTTATTGAATAAGGGAGGAAGTATTGTATAATCATCTTTACACAAAGAACATTTGAGACCTTTTTGTATTGAAAAGAAAAAGCTTAAAAAAAGCGCTTCTACATACATAAATATTATTGTCCAAAGCATCCCACTTAGAGTAAAAATAGATAAGCAGTCCCCAAAAGACCGCATAATTTTTTTCACTCTTAGCCTTTGCGACAACCAAATATTCAGCCAAGAAACACTAAAAACTCATTATTGAATCCACTAACTATTTGCAGAACCAATGATTTACTTACACCTCATCATTGATTGTACAATAAGTTTTACTGTCCAACATTTTTTTTCTGAATCTTATTCTAGTGTGAGAACCAAATATTTTTCTAACCGGGAAAAGTAATAATTGATTCCACTTACCCAATGTAGAACCAATAATTGCTAAGCCCACTTTCTGAAAGTGAAAATCCACCAAGTAAAATAAGATTTGGATGATTTTAAATTTGATGTGTACCAATTATGTACAAAGTTCGAAATGGGAAAATCCGGTGTAAACTGTCATAAAAACATGTTCCAGCCCAATTCCACCACATGTTTGTTAGGAGCATGCCACTGGGGGGGAGGGGGGTAAAACTAATAAGTAGACACACGGATTCCATAAATGTCTTTCACTTTTATTCTAGTAGAAAAAACTTATTTCTTTGACAAACATGCATGACAACATTTAACCACCGCACTAATGTCTTCAAGCATCCCCGCCCGAAAATTTAGTATCAAATTATTATTACCTACATAAGACTAACTAAAATTCACTTCAAATCGGGGTTGGTATATGCTATATTATGTTATCAATACTGTCTTCCATTTCACATTTTGACTAACTAATTTTCACTTCAATTCATTTTCATTCCTTGTCCATTGTGTAACAATTTTACAAATAAAATTGGAATTATTGTTCATTTCTGGTGCTGATGGAAACCTGGACTTGCAAGGACCTGCCTAACTATCCTGAGGCTGCGGCTTGGAGGAATCCTTCTGTCAAGGGTTTTTATTTTTTTGTTCTTTCTTGTTTCTGTTCCTATCATGGGTCTGTAAATCTAATAAATAGATGTAGGGTAGATGTAGGGAAACACATCGACATCCAAAGAGATAACAGGTACGCCACTCCACTCACACCCACCCAATTAATCTTGTTATATCACATTGCCATTATATGTGCTGCATTACACACTCGCCACAAACACAGTTTTCCAAACACTCCCTTAAAATTGTATCCCCAGAAGACTAATAGGGGGTACACATGTCTGTTAATTGTGCCTAAAGAAAGTATTCTTGACACACCAAAAAAATGACTCACAATTTTCAATAAAATCCTTAGTCTTATACTCTTATTCCTCACATAGGTTTTTAAAAAAGCTAGCCATTATAAGAACTGCTGCAGTAAAACGAATTGTATGTAGTGGAGTTTTATTGCGTGTCAATCATTGGCACCCCCAGGGGGGTGATATAACTAACTGCCTAGGTATAACTAACTGCCATGGTTATGCCAGCCAATCAGGGGGGTGATATATGGTATATTATGTGACAAATGTTGTTTTTCTCTTTAAGAGAGACACTAACAAATATTCTCTTAAAACCATTTTCATTATGCACCCTTTGTGTTACAAACTATAAAATAACATTGAAATTATTGTTCATTTGTGGTGTTCTATTAAAAAAATATCCAAATTTTTGTCAAGAAAATCATTAGTGTGATCCTTCACATAGGTTTAAAAAAAAATTGCCATTATGTAAAGTCAATATACCTTCCCACAGGCAGTTGTTAAAGTTAAAGAGAGAATTACACAACAATTCTCAACTTTACCAAACAACATCATACTTCAGTGAATTACACATTCACTAAAAATAACGTCTTCCAATCAAATGTATATTACTGGAGTCCAGTGGTAATATTCATTTCTGGAATCACTCCCTCATCCGCCCCAACACTAAATGAATTTCATTGAGTATTTTTAATCTCACCCTCCAAACACCCATAGGAGGCTAGAACCATAAGTCCATAAGTATTTCCCATAGAAGTCCAACATATAACAGCCCTTCGTTATATCTTAATACAATATATCATATAGATGTGCCTGCAGTACACACGATTAGAAATTTCCTATGCCCGAGTCCTTAGACTAAAACCATTTAAAAGAGGCCAACACTTGCCAACACAGGGCCCTGAAGGGGCAGAAAATAGGTGGCCAAAGTTGCCTTTATTGTACATACATAATCTTCAAACATAGCCACACATAACATAGTCACACATAATGGTCACACATAACACAGAGCGAAGCATAATCTTTATTCCTTTTTCACCCCCTTGAGCTTTTTTCCAGATGTTGAAGTAGAAGAGTCTCCAAACAGGTCACGTTTCAGTTTCTCATTGTCCACTTTCAAATCACTCCTTTTCTCCTTGGTTAGCAGCGGGCTGCTGGACACAGATTGCTGTGATGACTGAACCTGAAATTTCAAAAAACCTTGAGTTACTTTTGAGATACCTCGCTAGGATACAACTAAATAAATATTTAGAATACCTACCCCACTTCCAGGACCTGAAAACTCTTTAGCCAATCGAGTGAACTCATCTTCCTCCTGCAAGAATAGCCCGTAAAAAATGCAGGGGAAAGAGTCTTTATACCCAGGGAAACAAATTAAAATGTATACCTCCACAGCATTAATCTGTGATGAGTAAAGTGCCAGCACCTTGGGATCGGTGTTCATTTTTATAACGCTGAAAGTCTGATTTCCTTTGAAACCCCTGCCTTCTCTTTTAACATGCACCTTAAACAAAGCTTTTATATCAATGAGAGAGGTTATCTCAGAGGGGAAGTAATGTGGTCCAAAGTTCCTCTGCAAATAATTATAGGTTAGTATACCATGTAAGACAAACTAAGAAAAATAGAACTTAGTACCAACACATACCCTAGTTATTTGTTCCTTAAGGGAGGCAGCCGACTTTCCCAGTAAGCATGAGACCTCCCTATCCCACAGCAAGAAGGAGGCATGTGTTGTGGAATCAACTACCCTCACATTCACCTTAAACCTGATTTCATTAAAGATCTCGTCTTTAGCGATTCTTAGGATGCGTCTTAAAAAAATTGTGAGTAAGATGACAAACCGAAGAACAGCGTCATTTGCATTGCAAGAGGCACACCAAAAGCTCTCCCCGTTAGTGGAAACCTTCCGGTTACAACTAATGCATGAAATGTAGGACCAATCTTTGTAGTTGTCGATAGCCACTATCTCTCCGTAAACCCAATGTTTCCCTTCCTGTTATCAAACAAAAAGTCGAGTCAAATTTTCTCTATAAGAGCTTTCAAATTATAATTACAATACACTTGCCTCCTCAAGTTTTAATAGGGCATCAATAGTGATCAAATCTTGCTGGCCAGTTGCCAAGTCTCCATCGTCTGAGTTGTCAGTTGTTATTGAAAACCTAAGTCCACTACTGGACCTCTCAGCCATCCTGATTTTATATTTTATTATCAAATGTTAGAGAGAGCTGTGTTTTGTTTTGGTCTTGATTATAGATTATTGTTTCTACCTTGACTTGAACTCCACAAATTCATCATCACTTCCATTTAAAATGACCTTGGTGGTGTTGAACATGTTTGACACATGAACATGACCTAAATAACATCTTGTGTTAGATTATAGAGCATACAGTAAGCAGAAGGGGTACAGATGTTAAGACAACCTTGGTATTTTTTTGCTCTGCAACACTGCAGCAGCATCACAATCGGATCCGATGTTGTCTGCTTGTATGTCATGAGCATCTCAACCATCGGTCCCCAAAGAGTACATGCAATCACATTCCCTCTACTCAAAGCATTTAGTTTATTTCAATTTAATGGCACACAAAAAACCAATTAAAGTGTTTATGAACAAATCAAAGACTTACTCTGGATCTCCCAAAACCATCTCCATCAATTTTCGGGTCCTATCATTCTTCAGAATCGTTTTCGGGTCTTTATCATGCACTACTTGACCCATTATGTCTAGACCAAAGAAGTACATTAGTGTGTCTTACATAGTCACGTGATGTTTTATATATTACGGATTACCATAGATCATAATTTAGGAATTACCTATTCCATATTTCTCATCTATGGTGTCTTGAGCTTGCAATGAAGCAAAAGACACCAGTGAGTAAGTTCTTATGGGGAATGGAACCCCCTTGATCTCAAAGGCAGCACTCTTGTTAAAAAAACGAAGCCTATAGGCACTTGTTGAGGTTTTAAAGAACATGTAGTTCTCTTCCACCATGAAGTTTTTCACTGCAAACAAACGTCCCTCCTTGAAGATACCAATGAACTTGTTGACGAACTGGTCCGGAATATGAGCATGCATCCTATACCCCTGAAATTTACCAAAATGACAACATTGATTTTACGTAAATGGTAAGGCATAGGAACATTATACAGAATTTTAGACGTCCAAACCTCTTCGTCATGAAACACAACCTCCAAGGATTCTGGGAAACAGTCATGTGCTGGTTCACGATACACCCTTATCGCCCTAGCCTTGACTGCCCATGTTGTTTTAGTCTGATCAATCTCACGAAATAGGGACCACATTCCAACCATCTTTAAGAACGAATGCCTGCAAGTATTTCTTATCTTGTTTGCCAAGAGATGTGGAGACTGAAACAATATTGATGCTGTATTTATAGCTGGAGGTCCCAGTCTTTCAGCCATCTAAAATAACATTCACCACATACTCAAGCTCAGTTTTTTGCAAATGGAACGGGGGGAACACTGTACATCTTAATTTGAATTTCAAAATTGCTTCTTTAGCGCCCGCCCAGAGCCTCCCCCTTGTGACAAAAAAGACACTGTTTGTAACCAAAAAGCAGCCAATGAAAATGTAAATAGGTGCGTGAGAAATCCAGGGGAAATCCAATACAGATTTCTGCCAGCTCATTACCCCAAACTGACCAATGAAAAACATTTTTGAGCTATTAGAAAATCTGTAAGAAATCCAAACAGTGACTCAACCGCCTAAAACCACACATCCTGTGCAAAAGTGATTGCACAGTACACTTCGCCAGCTCATACTCCACTATTGGACTAATCAAAATTCATTTAGATCTTTAGAAAATCTGAATCAAATCCAACCAAAAGCCAGAAAAACTAATCCGGCCAACTATGGGGAAACCTTCATTAATAAACCTAACCAACGCCTCAAGAAATGAGTATTTAACCACAAACAATGACAATGACGTTTTTGAGCGGGAATTGCTGGGCCTCTTTTATTTTACTTTTAGATTATAATAGATTGTGAGGTAATCTCAATATTTTCGCTATTTGTTATTTGCTATTTGCTATTTGGTTTCTGAAGATTGAAAACATATTCTTATTGTTTGCTTACCCTTCTTTATCAAAGAACATTGTGGCCAGCGTGTTTGACAAAAGTCCTAAGTAAAAAGTGTACTCAATATGATTATACTTGTTAAATACATGTTCTCCTTGTAAGCTCTACCAAGTTTTAAATCAAGGAAGATGAAGATTTTAATGCATAGGTTGAAAACTTCAAGCCCCTGTAATCACAGAAACTATATTTCCTTTTATAATAAATAATGAGTGCTCATATCTATCATTTTGTATATTTTATGATTATCTAGAGGCTTGGACTAGTGTTCAACGATCATCTAGATTTCTACTCTTATAAGTTATGATGAATACATATGTCCTTAAAGCAATTATCTGTTTGGAGTGTATGCCCTTTAGAGGGGCATGCTTGCCACAGCTCCTCCTTTCACATCCTTTGTTTTGCTAGTAAATGTTATTATTTAAAAAATTGGTTTTGAAATTGTGTTAGAGAGGCAAGGGATGACCTTTTTTATTAAGCACGCCACTCACTCTTAATTCTGAATAACATGATGTATTCTGCATTTATGTGTTAGTGCCCCCAATCTCTGTTTGATGTAAATTGAAATGGCCAGTTGAAGTAGCCTAGTGAGCTAACTGAAGTTGTAATAGTGTAATTAATGGTATTAATTACTCTATTAAGTTCCTCCTAAGCTAACCGGAGGCTCATTCCAGTCCTCTTCTGATAAAGAGAGAGCTCAGCCAACCATAAATGCTCATGGTGTTAGAGAGGCAAGGGATGACCTTTTATTATGAAGCACGTCTTTCCTCATAATTCTGAATAAGATGCAGTATTCTGCATTTATGTGTTACTGCTCCCAATCTCTGTTTGGTGTAAATTTAAATGGCCAGTTGAAGTAGCCTAGTGAGCTAGCTGAAGCTGGTCCTAAGCTAACCGAAGGCTCATTCTAGTCCTCTTCTGATAAAGAGAGAGCTTGGTAAACCATAAATGCTCATAGGAGTGTATTTGGAGGGGGGTTCCTTCTAGTCATAAGTGCCAACATCCACCTTCTGATCCCGTGAGTGATGTTCGGCTTCATCATTATCGTGAAAAGAAAAGAAAAGGTATGAAATACACAATGCTATATATACTCAGAGGACTTGATGCTTTGATTACCTTTTTGAGTTAATCGCGTACTAAGTTAACCTATTATGAAAGTGCAGCCATTTTCTTAAATTTGTTTGGTTTTGTTGAGTACTGCAATATTATTATAGAAATATGTATCATGGGTAATTAAGGCCAAGTAAAATTGATAACCTCTAAGTAATTTAGTTTATTACTGTGATAAAAAGATGCAGTCATAGATTCTAATTTCATACTCTGTAAGCCACAATCCTATACTCAATCTTTATTAAAGGAAAACGCGAGTTGGCTTACCAATATAAGTTCACTTGTCACACAGTGTTTTCTAACCATGCTACGTTAACAGGTGAATCAGAGTGTCACGGTATACACACAACTGAAAAGAACACCCAGATACAGGGGTTACCATACTCTGTGTTATGGGTTAACATGTGTTATGCTACTTTAGCCTTTTCCATGTCATGTGTTATACCATCCTCTATTTCATGGAAAAGGCTAAAGAATATTAGCGTCCTGAAGATACTCCTTTGAAGGAAATAACTATTGATGATACTGATATTGCACTTGAGATACAGGGGCAACATGTAAAAAAGTGCAGAATCTAAAAAAAGAGTTGGAGGGGAAATGAGGTGCGCGAAAGGCTTTTGAAGTAGCTTGAATAGACACCGAACAGAGAATGCAAAATACGTTGAAAAATGTTGGGAAAAAGTTCAACTCTACTTTACGGTCATGGCATCAATCTATAATGCTCGTAAGTGTTGCTATACCACCATCTTTAATGCAGGTAGATGTTTCATTTTTACTAGTATTCTTATATAATATAAATCTATATACAGAGTATTTAAAACCAACACAAAAAGTGTTGCTAGCCGCAAATTATAACAATTCCTAATTAATCAAGCGCTTACTGATGTAAGTTTGGTAAATGGTAACATTGTACGTACTGCTGATTCTTTAAAAGTAAATTGGCATCTAATAACATTGTAATTTGATGTCTAAAATTGGCTTGAATATGCTCTTTTAAGAGAATTGTCATTTTTATTGTGTTTTAAATTGAGACAAAAGATACACAACTCTTTATTTATGTTGATAAACTATCAAGATCATTTACTAAATTAAACTTTGTGTAACATATCCTTCATATTTTCAATCACTGAAAAGCATGATTTTGTAGTGTTTACCATCTTGACATCAATCTTTAATGCAGGTAGGCGTTGTTATACCACCATTCATTCCCTTTTTGCTTGAAGATGATGGAGAAGATGAGGCTCACACTCTCTTGAATACTAATCAGAAGTTCATATGATGTTATTAGGTTATTTTTTAAGGGCACCTAGATGAACCAAATACATTGGTTATGTTTTTTACTTGACATTTCACTTTCGTTTAAGTTTATTTTATTATTTGAAGTGTAACACTCAATGATAATGTTTTAGTTTGACATGGAGTTGGTAAATTTTATAATGCACAATATTTGCTAGTACATCTTGATATAAATCTTATATTTTAATAAAACTATCATCAATTTATAAATAGCCCTTGGTACAAATTTGAGTCTGTTGGTCAGGACTTTTACCGAACAAATGATGAATGAAGGATTATGCATGGAAACGCTTAGTTGTGGCAAAAAAATGCTCCCGCAAATAATAGGTCCTACAAACAGTTTTTGTGGCAAAAAATCTCTTCAGCCTACAAAATGTCCTCATACAAAATCATCTATGTTGATGAAATTAACCTTATGTCTACAAATAATTGCCCTGATAAAAATATATTTGTGATAATATCTATCATTTTTCTATCAATGACTTATCATACAAAAATTCATTTGTAGTGAAAAGGACATTCTTCCCATGAATAACTCTTTCTACAAATTTTTATTCGTAGAGATAGATATGCTTTCTCTACAAAAATTTCCCCATACAATTAACTAGTGTTGGGAACAATATGTTGAGCCTACAAATATTTTGGTAGTAAAAGCACCTGCAAGACGAATTTTATTTGTCTTAAAAAGTTTTGTATGCCAAAACTTTAGTAGACAAAGTTGCAAATTTTGTCGTGTTATAGCTTTCCCTTCGATGATGTCCCTACAAAGTCGGCCACAATTTTTTTTTGTCTGGAAAATGTTTTATCTACAAAATTTGATATTTCCCTACAAAGATTCTTTGTATGAAAAACCCAAAAATGTAGTAGTGGAAAGAATAATATGAAACATAGGAACACACTAGTATTTGTCACACTACTATTTGTTGTATATATACGGCATGTATATTAAGGAAGTGTTTGCAACAGCTTAAAAAAGCACTTCTCAACTTTTGCCATAAAAAGCACTTATTTACCAAACACTACCAACTTTTACTTTTCAAAATCACTTTTTTCTCAAATACTATCAACTTTTACTATTAATCACTTTTTCATTACATCTCCAAAAGTACTTTTTTAAACAGAAGCAGTTGCAAACACTCCTTAAGCCAACTGAACAAATTAACAGTTGCTGATATTTTTTTTGTATTTTTATTATGTATTGTTTCTCTTTTAATTAGTTTCATTGTTTGTGGTTGTGGAAATTACACACTTTTGGTGTAATTAGTTTACTTTCCTAGATAGATGTAATTTGTTTAGATTAAGATTATTTTTAACTTAAAACACGTCAAGATCATCGAAAGGACCAAGGTTGGACCCCGAAGGATCAAGGAAAGTGAAAGGGGACAAGATGAAAAGAAGATAAAAAAATATTTCATATACACGTTCAGGTATCGGCAATACTTGGTTGGGTATCGAGTTGATTCAGGCGTAAAAATCAGAATCTGGAGAGACAAAAAACGTGCAGGATTTTGAAGATTTGGCTCATATCCGACCGGGTATGCCGACATACCCGACTAGGTATGTCTAGAAAAGTGTCTTTATGG